GCCCGGCTCCTGCTTTCCTCCCCCCGCTGCCGGGGTCATCCGCGGGCGCACCCAGGGACGGGGGCACCCCGTCACAGTAGCCGAAGCTACAGTATGTTTATACCCGGCGTATAAGACGACCCCCGATTTTTGGGGGATGTTTTTTAGTATAAAAAGTCGTCTTATATGCCGGAAAATACGGTATGTGTCATTCTAGGCCCCCAACAGGTTGGCTCTTCAAGGGTACGTCTGCACTACAGAGAAGATCGAAGCTGCTACTGTTGATATTCCAGGGTTTGAATGATTGGGTCTAGTTAACTTGAACTGCAAGGGGCTCTCCAGTTGATGCCAGTAGTCCTGCTTCCACAAGGAGTAAGGGAAGTTGAAGGAACAATGTTCTCCCTTTGACTTCCTGTAAGTGTGGACAAAGCCAAAAGTCGAGTTAAGCTACATTGTCTTCAGCTACGCAATTAATGTAGCTGAAGTTGCATATCTTAATTTGACCTTGTCCCATAGTGGAGACAGATTAATGTGTCCAGAAGAAATGTCTGTAAAAACTTGGTGCATGAGCTACTCTGTTTTATACTGGAGCTAAAGAATACCCACAAAGTTTCCTACTGTACACACACCTTAAGTAGGAGAGAATTATTTGAGCTGGCGACTCTTTTTCTTCCTCAGGTTGAGCTTTGAGATGGAGCTGACAGCTCAGGTTCCTTTTTGATTTGTAAATGTTTCTTTTTTGACTGAAAGTCATATATTGCAGTTAGACTGGATGGAGTCTTATCATATTGTTTCTGGAAAGCGGCCAGCTACAAGTGGCTGTGGAAAGCTGGAAGCCTTAGTCCTTGAAAGGGATCCACTGTAGTCAGCGCCTACGCTCATATAGATCCCCACTGACTCCAGTAGGACATGTAAGGGTCCATGTACAGCTGTTCGAAATATTTTTTAACATTTTACATTAAAAATGGAGTTTTAAAGATTGACTTTTCACTTTATCAAAAATTTTCATCAAAAATAAAAATGAATATTTGTGACATAAAAATTTAAAAATGTCACCCTTTTGTAAGCTTTCATTTCCCCCCTTTAAAATTTCCAGTGCAAGTAAAGGAGGAGAAAGTAAGAAAATGAGAGCGATAAGGTTCTTCCCCTCCACTTTCTGTTACTATCATACCTGCATTTTAGCAGTGGGGAAAAAGAGGGAAGTTTTAACATAGTCGAATTTATCTTGACAAAATAACTTGAAAGATTACAAAATGAAATAATAAATAATAATTGAAATTTTCCCCCAGTTTTGTTGTTGTTTTTTTGGTTTGCTAGCAGATCTCTTTCCAAATGTGGGGCCTTTACCGGTACTGTTCACTGGCAGAATAATTACAAGAAAAGAACCTCCTTGGAATAAAGAAAAGCCTCTTATCAGCTTGGTTTGGAAAGTCCATAGTTTTTGTACGCCATACTGGGCTGTGACTCAGGCTACGTCTAGACTACAGGCTTCTTTAGGAAGAAGCTTTTTTCAGAAGAGATCTTCCGAAAGAAAGCGTCCATACTGCAAAAGAGCATCGAAAAAGCAATCTGCTTTATCAGAAGAGAGCGTCCAGACTGAATGTATGCTTTCTTGCATATAAACTAAAAGGGTGTCATAAGGAGGTGGGAGAAAACTTGTTCATTTTGGCCTCTGAGGACTGCAGCAAGGGAGATTTAGGTTGGACATTAGGAAAAAGTTCCTAACTGTCAGGGAAGTCAAACACTGGAATAAATTGCCTAGGGAGGTTGTGGAATCTCCATCTCTGGAGATATTTAAGAGTAGGTTAGATAAATGTCTATCAGGGATAGTCTAGACAGTATTTGGTCCTGCCATGAGGGCAGGGGACTGGACTTGATGACCTCTCGAGGTCCCTTCCAGTCCTAGTATTCTATGGTTCTATGATTGCTATAGACTGAGTGGCCACCAAGGCACCTGTGCTTTTTCCTCTTTCCTCTTCTGAAAGAACTCCCTCTTTCCTGTCCACACATGCCTTTTTGTGAAAGAGCTCTTTTGCAAAAAGGCTTCTTCCTTGTAGAATGAGGATTACTGATGCAAGAAAACCCCCCTCTGTTCTTTTGATTTTCTTGTGGAAGAATACAATTGCAGTGTGGACGTGCCTCAAGTTTTGTCAGAAAAACAGATGTTTTTCCGACAAAACTCTGTACTGTAGACATACCCTCAGAGAGACCAAAGTGAGGTAGTGAGATGCTCATGGAATTATAGTTTCTGTTGCATGTTTGCTTATATAGGAATCTTTACATTCATGTGTTTGTAAATATACATTATATACTATTTGTATTTTATTTCCTACATGCACCTGTTATACCATCTCTCTGTACACAAATTTAATGTGGACTGTAGCAGAAGAAAATGAACATCAGATTCTAAATTGAGTATTGAAACTGCCTTGCTAGTGGGTAAAAAGTATTCAGAAGGCAATTAATTAAATCTTAATAGGCTGACATTGCCTTTAACCAGAGATGTTCCAAAGCAGTGATATGTTTCTTTTATTTTTGTTTTTGTTTTCATTAAGAGACTATTTTTGTTGTGCTTTGAAAATTCTACAGTGTGCGAGAGAGAGAGAGAGAGAGAGAGAGAGAGAGAGAGGTGTGTTGAAATGTCCTTTTGTTTGCAGTTGAAGACTGGGGACTTGTGTTCTCCACCTTTAGAATTATGCCCAGGAACTTTGGGAGCATGTTTCTAGTGCCAGACTACAGTAGTTTTCCATGTAATTTTGATCTTAAAACAATAGAAGTTGCATTGATATTACAGTATATGCATTTGATAATTGGGGAAATAAGTAGGCAGCTCAGAAGGTTGTCACTCTCTATAGGAAATTTGACATATGCTGTGGCAGTTGATATTTTTCTGCTCATATTTCTTTATCTGAGGGAATCTATACAGCAAATATAAAATCAAAATCCATCCTTTGTTTGACATGTTTTGTAAATAACAAAAAGAAATGGTTAGAAATTTTCAAAACTGATGTTTGCATGCTCACATAATTCCTTTTTGGTTACCCTAACTCAGCCCACCCTCTGTTATTAACAGGTACACACTGGTGGATATTTTGCGTGCCATACTTCTTTCTTTAGAAGCCATGATTGAAGACCCTGAACTTCAAGTGAATGGATTTGTTTTGATTATAGACTGGAGCAACTTCACCTTCAAGCAGGCCTCCAAGCTCACACCAAGCATGCTGAGATTAGCCATAGAGGGTCTTCAGGTAAGATTCCCTTTTTTATCCCTTACTCTATTTCCTGGGCTCCAGGCTGAAAACCTGCATATTACATACAAACTAATGAGGTTCATTTCTTTAAAACAGGGACATTTACACCTTATGCAGGAATAGTGCAGTGCTAGGGTCAAGCTTTGATCTAACTCTTGAAATGCCTTAGCTGGTACTCAGTCTATAGGGTTGCCAGGTGTCCGGTATTCACCTGGATAGTCCGGTATTTTCAGCTCCAGTCCGGTAAAAAAATTCAGAGAATACTGGACACCTAAAATGTCCGGTATTTTCTGAATTTTTCCCAGGCCAGAGGTGAAAATGCTGGGCACCTGGCAATGCTACAAACACTCAGCACCTGGCCTCCCCTCCCACCAAGCCCCCCTCAGCTCCCCGACCCCAGCCCCCATGCTTACCTGGTTCTCCAAGGCTGCTGGCACAAAATGGCTGCAGGCCAAAAAACCTAGGGGAAGCTTCCCCCGGGTCTCCGTGCTCAACCGCTCCACTGTTCCTATCCCTGCACTTAAAGGGGACATGTTGTTTTAATGCTGTTTTATTTTAAAATTTCAGCTTAATAAGTCCTTGGAGTCTTTTTTTGCTCAACAACTTTGGTCTCCCCCCGTTCCCAGTGGTTTTTTTGGGGGAGGGTTCGGTATTTTTGTTTCAACTATCTGGCAACCCTATCAGTCTACCACAACTTAGGTGAGTGGTTTGAGCTAACAGTGTGATTTCAGTTCTCTCACTTACTCTGGTGGAGCTCCATGGACTTGACAGGAATTACTCTGGAGTCTTTTTTTGCTCAACAACTTTGGTCTCCCCCCGTTCCCAGTGGTTTTTTTGGGGGAGGGTTCGGTATTTTTGTTTCAACTATCTGGCAACCCTATCAGTCTACCACAACTTAGGTGAGTGGTTTGAGCTAACAGTGTGATTTCAGTTCTCTCACTTACTCTGGTGGAGCTCCATGGACTTGACAGGAATTACTCTGGATTTGTATTGGTGGAAGTGAGCACAGCCAAGCCCCATATTGGAAAGAGTGTGTGTAAGCTTGGCTGCGAGGGCAAAGAGCAAAGTTGCAGGTTATGTTGGTATACTTTGGACAGAAATCACATAAAGTGACCCAGTGGCACAAAGTATATGGCAGATGAAGGGCATGGTATGTGTTTTATTTGTGTGGTTTTCTCCTCTTGTTTTTGGAAACTTTTAATGTTGCATGGAATTTTTACTTTTGCAATATCAGTCAGCATTTGAAATGGTCCTTTCAGATATTAGTCAGAGGTTGTTACCCTGAGGACAGCTGAGAAATTTTCTGCTAAAGGTAAATGTATCTGAAAATATGACCGATGATGTAGCAAGCTATTGTGTTGTATCTTAAAATTCCATATTATTTTTGAATGATAGGCTGTTTGTTTCTGGGGCTGAGTGATATCCAGTGGTGTGATTTACCCATGGCCTGAGAGGACACCAGGATCTTCTAACAAAAGGCCCATTTTATAAGGTCTAGTATCCAGTCTTCAACAGTGGCCAGTGGCTTGATCCTGTGCCCACTGAAGTCAATGGTAAAGCTCCCATTTACATCAGTGGGGCTCTATCACATTCCAGATGCCACAGAAGATTCAAGAAACTCCTCATATGTCAAAAGTAGGATAACCTGTCCCCTGTTATGATTTGATTCCAAATCCCATAGTTAGAGATTGACCTATGCCCTGAAGCATGAACTTTTATAATTCCTGTTACCACCAATCTATTAAAGTGATTTAATAACTGTGGTGGCTGAATCTGTTGTAAGATAGATCAACATAATTATGTAGTGTAGACATAGCCTCAAACCTAATTGGATTTGGGACCTGTTACACTGGGGATAAGCCTGCTTAGCATTGAAGAGAAAGTACTGGAGTTTTCCCCTCAAGGGAGCTGGAAAGAAGTGGGAGGAATAAAAAAGTCACTTGGTCAAAGAAGAAAAACTAGGGGAGGTCAGCACCAGTGCAGAAAGCCTAAAATTGGCCAGTACAAGAGCGTGGGTACTTATTCTTTCACAGATTGCTGACTTATTTCTTGTTTAAAATGTTATCCTCCCTGCCAGTGACAGGTTTTTTTCACATTCTGGAGAAGACTTGTGGCAAAACAAGACTCTGACTGCATGTGAGACAGACTCCAAATGTTTTATCAGGAGGTACTAGAAGGGTACAAGAGTGACAGAGGCACGCTATTTGTTATCTTAGTAATCACCCTCTGTTTAATCAGAGAAGATGAATTGTCTTCCAAGATTTCACAGAACTCAAGATGGCTGCTCACTGAAGTTTACCATTTGGGGAGTTCAAAATGTGCCTTGTGTTGGGAGAACTAGAGGAAGGAAGTAGTGTCAATTGAACTTGATGATACTCAAATACCCCCTGAATCAAGTAAATTCAACATTTATGGTGCACATTAAATTCCCATTTGCTTTGGCTTTCATGATTAGAAAACCGTGAAATGCCACATATAGTAAAGCATGAGCATTATGGATTTTCTGACCCTCCCAGCTACTGATATTATTGTGATTAATTCCAAAATGAATTTTTAAATTAAAAAAAAATAAATCCAACTTGCTATTTAATATTCTAACTGCATTTAGAGTTCAGTGACCCTGTCCTCACTTTGGACTGACCATAGAGTCTTGCTAGGTTGCAGTGGGGTCAGGAGACAGCTCTTTTGGCATGCAGGCAAGAGCATTTCACACCCTAAAGTCCACACCCCAGTGACTGTGGGGAGCAGATATGCTCTTGAGTCCAGCATTGCTCTGGAAGTCGGGCTAATCACGCTGAGTTCAAATGGGAGACAAACACAGCACTGCTAAGGAGAAGACTCAGGATCATGTCTTTGGTCCCAGTGAAGCAAAGTACTTAAGCACTTGTTTAATTTCAGTCAGATGAATAGTCACATACATTAAAAGTGTTTTGTTGGATCAGGGTAGCTGGTCATTAGGAGCTAGTTGGCTACCCCCCACCCACAGTGTCAGAAACATGTAATATGACTAATATAATATAACTAGCCAATTAGCCCGTCATAAGACAGGATTTTCAGGTCTCTCCTCCATGTCACTCTTCTCTCCTGAGCCTCCGGTCTCTCTCTCTCTCCTCCTCCTCCTGCCTCCCCTCCTCTCTCTCTCTCAGCTCTCCTACGCCTCCTGCCTCTCCTTTCTCTCTTTCTCTTCTCCTCCCCCTCCTGCCTCTCACTCAGGGGACCACAGAGCCCAAATGGCCTTTTGGGCTTCGCGTTCCTCGTGCTGCATGGGGAGCGTGGAGCCCAAATGGTCGCTTGCGCCACTTGCTCCCACTCGGCGGCCTGACCAAGCGGCGCAGAAGTCAGCCAAGCGCCATGGCGGGAGGCGAAGGAGGGCGGGGTGGTGACGTTCATGGCCAGGGGGTGGGGCCTGGAGCCGCTGTCACGCTTCACATCACTGCTCCACCCCCCTTCCCCTCCCGCCGTGGCGCTTGACTGACTTCTGCGCTGCTCAGCCGGGCCACCACGCGGAGGCAAGCGGCTGTTTGGGCCCCACAGTCCCCATGCAACACGGGCCACCCAGAGGGAACAGTCAGCATTTTAGCCACAGCGCCACCCAGATGGAACAGCCAGCATTTCAGCGTTACAGATATACAGACATTGAGCTACTATATATATGATGTACTGCAGTGCACACACAGTAGCACCTCTGTTGCCACTAGGGGGCTTTTGTTGTGGTTAAAGAGCTCCTTATTGGGATGAGCAATAAGTGGTCCACAGGCTGGAAGTGGTTCGCCAGGGTTAGTCCCTGGCAGGTTACCGGATTCTTTATTTACCTGCACACCTGCAGGCAGAGCTGCTTGCAGCTCCCATTGGCTGTGACCGGCACTCCTGGCCAAATAGGAGTTGTAGGAAGCACTGGTTTGACCCGCACCACTTCTCACAGCTCTCATTGATTGGGAATAGTGAACCACGGCCACTGGGAGATGTGAGTGGCCGTACCTGTGGATGCTGTCTGGTGACTTGCCGGGAGCTATTCCTGGCAAACTGTGCTCAGCCTGCAGGCTGCTTATTGCCCACCCCTGCCATTAAGCTGCTGTGCATGTAGTTGCCACATACTAACCTCGAAACACATAGAGCTTGTCTATATGGTACAATAATAAGTGATGATACAGTGTGCATTTTAAAAGCACAGCAATATTTTGTGCACTAGCTTCCTCGTGTGGACTCTGTTGGCTTATATTAAATGTTTCCTAATATTCATTAACAATATTTCTTTAACATGCACCAGCAAACATTTAGTGCATGACAGCTATTTCAATACAGGCTAGATGGTGTGCAACACATTGTTTCTCTTCAGAATGCATAGCCTCCTGGTGCTCATGTCTACACTGTGTAGACAAGCCCTATAGATTGCAGGCGCAGGACCAGGAATCAAGGCATCAGTGGGGCTAGCTCCACACCTATAGGCTGTGTCTACATTGGCACCCTTTTCCGTAAACGGGATGCTAATGAGACACTTAGGAATTGCAAATGCCGCAGGGGATTTAAATATCCCCCACGGCATTTGCATGAACATGGCTGCGACTTTTTTCCGGCTCAGGGTTTTGCCGGAGAAAAGCGCCAGTCTAGACAGGATCTTGCGGAAAATAAACCCTTTTCCAGAAGATCCCTTATTCCTACTTTCAAGTGCAAAAGCACAACTTGTACATGGCAGTGTGGACATGTTCTTGCACAAGATTTCTTGCACAAGAACATCTTGCGCAAGTACCCGCCAGTGTAGACATAGCCTAAAAGTTTCCTCTCATGATCAGAATGAATTTTGTGTTGTACACCAGTACGAAGTTCATGTGGCTTATTTGGATGTGCCACTGTGGCATCCTAGTTATTAATAAATATTTTATAAACCTTTACCTTTTCTCTCTGCTGCCATGTCTCCTCCCCTTGCTCCATCAGCTCCCCTGATGCCTGCTGCCCCCCAACTCCTCACCCTCCTCTGCTGTCCTGACTCCTGCCCTTCT